ACTAATAGTGTTTGGACAGGATATCCTGTCTGCTTCTTGTACTATGGATAACCACTAAGAAGATAACAATGTACATTGTATTGATTATCAAAACTGTCCTATTATTGAAACTGTCTCATTCATATTTATTTCTCAAAAAGAAAAATGCCGAGTAGGCATTGGTATAATATGGCTCAAAGGATAAGGGGTTTGAATTCATTTAATTACTTTGTTTAGTAGGGTAAGTTAAATGTTCACCACTACACACCTCTCTTGTATGTTTGGAATACTGCTTACTTTTCTAGTATGAAAAGTGCTTGTGCTCATTACTAGATATTACCAGATTCAATGTGCCTTTTCCATAATGTCTCCAAATGGCCAATGTAACCTTTGGAAAATAGTTTCACCTTAAGTGAAACTCATTTTCACTTCCTTGACCAAGATCCCAGTTGCTCCTTCTCCAGGGAACCAACAGCTCAAAGTGAATGGAAAGGAAGTACACACCTGTCAGCTCCAAGAGATTCCTAGGTCCTTACCTTCCTCTTCCTCACTGCTTGCTGTAGGGAGATCTGGTAGTTTGGAGCGGCTGGCCAACTTGTCACTTGTTGTGGCCATGGTGAGGAGAAAGGCATAACCCAGAAACAAGGTCTTGTTGAGGGGCAAAGGCCCCCTCTGCTCTTCCAGGACAGAGGGTTCAGCTGTGTTGTCTCCGCTCTCGCAGGGGTTGACAATTTCTCCTGCCCCTACTGCACCTGAAGCAGACAAAACATGGTCACCAGAGCAACACAGAGCATTCTCTGGAAAAGGCCCGGGCACCTGATGAGTGCACAGGCCATGTCCTGATGAGCTTTTCTGAGCTAAGAAATAAAGACCATGACCATGCCCAATTGCTGGAAATGACCAACAACTCCGAACCAAATTAAATAAACAGAAATTTACATTATGAATTTTACAGTCATAATATTATACAGTGTATTTTCATAAATGAAAAACAACTAGTGTTGCTTTTTTTTTTTTGTTTTTTTTTTTGGCGGAACCGGGGTAGTGTTGCTTTCTATAGCCGAGCCAGATACTTCTAAAACTTCCTAGGCCATCTGAAAACAATGAAGAGTAAAAAGTGCTTGGAAATCTTCAGGCCACTCACGTTATCCAGTGCTTGAGTTTCCCCAAGAATAAGTGACACTATGGAGCAGTCTTTAAAAGACAAAAATGAAACCATAGCTCCCTTTAAAGAAAACTTTCACTACCAAGAACTATAATGAGGAGATCACCCCCTCACCTTTGATTTTCATAGAAATGGTGCAGATGTAGGGGACTCAGGTCAACAACTTCTGACATTGCCAATCAAGTGGAAGACCCAATACTATTATGGACTACTGGACTATTTTGGAATATTTTGCTGAGTTCACACACCTATATTTAAATGACGGAACTAAACAAAAAAAGGGGATACAGATGAATGACCATTTTGTATCTGTGTATTCAAAATAGTTAGGATAGATATATAGCTACATTCTCTCAATTCAATGAATAGAGGGATTTGTTCTAATAGTGTTTGTAAATAGGATATCATGTCTGCATCTTGTACAGCAAATAACCACTAGGAAGACAGTACACAATGTGTTAATTATTGAAACTGTCCTACCAATTTGATTTGAAACTGTCTCATTGCTACTTGTTTCTCAATAAAATTATGGAAAAAAATAAATTAAATTAAATTAAGAAAGAAAGAAATGGTGCAGAGAATACTCAGTTACCAAGTGCTTTTATGTGGAAACAACACCACATCAAAATATCTTGCCTCACCAAGTAGGTAGTGACCCAGCCAGTCCAGGACTCCCAGAACACCCATGCCAGAAGTGCCCCAGTGAGTCCTTGAGAAGAAAACGGCACCTGACCTGGAAAAGCTGAATCATGGGCTCACTAGGAGGCTAAGATGACAGCCAGGTCATGCATGCTTCCCTACAACAAAACAGCAGCAAAAGAAAAAGTCTCAGAGGCCAAGTGATTGTCATGCGCACAAAGCTGGATTCCAAGTCAAGACTGTCCGAGTCTGAATCCTGGCTTACTTTGTTATCTTGGGAAAGTGAAAAACGTGCCTCAGATTCCTCCACTGGGAAACAAAGTCTAGCACCTATATGTCAAGAGATCATACACGAGATAGAATATATGCAGCAATTAGGTTCCATGCTATATGCTGTAAATACACAGTAAAGATAACGTTTTTAAATGCAGCGAAACATGGCAACTGTGAGACACATGGGGAAAAAAAAAAAAGACTCGGGTGCTAGAACACAGTCATAACAGCACATCAGCCACACAGCTATCAGGGTAGAAGGTGAGGACTTCACCTCCATCTCTAGAACCCAGAGCAGCGGCTTGGGTCATGGTAAAGATTCAAAAGGCAATGGGTTGTCTTTTATTTTTTTTCCCCTGTATTTAGTACAGGGTCTATAGGGTCTCACTATGTAGATCAGACTTGTAGTGATTCTCCTGTTTTCAGCCTCCCAAGCGCTGGGATTACAGGCACGTGCCACCAGGTCCAGTCTCAATCACCGTCTCAGCGTGCCTCGGGGGCGGGGCCAGCAAGGCATGCTGAGGATTGAACCCCAGCCATTGCACTCTGCCAAAGCAGGCGTTTTATGCTGAGCTATCAGGCCGGCCCTGGTTTTTCTCCTTTCTAACGCCAGATGTGAGCAACTGGAAAGGGGCTGCCTGGATGACAGTCAGGAGAAGAACAAGCTAAAGCACACATTTCAAGACAAAGTCTGGGCATAAGAGAAAAACGAAGTTTCTAGGAGACTGAAGATGGGGAAGGCAAGACACTACCTATGTTGAATCTTCTGGGACTTTAGCCCCCCCTTCCCTCCTAGAACCTACTCAAGAGTAAGTGAATGTGAACAAGTCATGGCCTATCTAACCCCCTGGACTCTGTTCAGAGGACATGGGGGATAGGAGCTCAGTGAACTGGATGCTATCTCTGGCTTATAGGCCCCCAACTCTGTAGCCATGAGAGGAGCTACTCTCCTGTAGTAAGCTCCATTTTCCAAAGAGCCGACCGCTCATTCTGCCACAGTGTGAGGGAAAGACATGAAAGAAAGCACTCACCAGGCTTCACAGTGGCTGACTTTCGGCCTCGTTTGGCAGGGGACCGGTCCTCTTCTGAAGTGATAAGTTTTCTTTTGCTTGATGGAACTCCCACAGAGGCCCGAGGACTCTCTGTGATCTTCCGGGTAGGGGTTGTGCTGCTGCTGCTGGAGGCAGTAGTTGTGGCTGGGGAGCTGATGTTACTGCGCCGTTTCCGCTTACCTTCCACCAAATTGTCTACAGTACAATAAGTCAAAGTTTGGTCAATCAGTGGTCTGACTGGAGGCCCTCAACTCCAAAATTCAGGGAAGAACCTAATTTAGAAACCACAGTGCTTTCCTCCCATCTCCCAGAGGGCCATATTTCTTGTTCCATCTTTGCCATGACTGAAATTTGTCTGGTCCCCTATAGAATTGGGCAGACCAGAAAAACCCTAAAGATTTACTGTCTGGTCCTAGCAAGGAAACAGGTAAAAAAAGTGGTAGTCTGCAAAGTGATAGTTTACTCAAATAAATCACGAGGAATAAGTTAAGGAACGGTCACCAGTTGCTCTATAAACCTCTCCTCCCTCAAATGCAGAAGGGGCCACTGGCACCACTCACACAGCAAACGTTTTACCTAAGCTGATGTCTGCTGCCTTCGTGAGGGGCGTCACTGCCTCGTATGGACCAAGTCCATACTGCTCTCTCAGTCTGTTTCCTTGCTCCAAAGACAGGATGACAGCCATTCGCTTATACCACTTCCTCTGGCCTTCTTTCTCAATGCTGTAGTACAGCTCCCCGGACTCCTTCCTATGTCCTTTCACCACTCCTGGGAATACAAACATAAAAGCCTGCTGTTGTTTTAGGCTGCATGGCGCCCACTCTGCAAAGCAGGCCAGAGCTGTAGAGCTCAGAGATCCAACAGTAGGCTAAATATTAGGATTTAACAGTATTTAGGGTGTCAATCCCAAAAGGTTAACAATCAGGACACACATAGCTACTACTCTGGGTTTGGGACAAGAAAGGTTCCCCAACAGGAGGCAGTATTAAAGTATAAAATAAAGCTTCCTGAGACCAGCCTTACAGATGGTTAGTATTTTGTTTTTACTATTCAACTTTTTAAAAATCTTTCATTTATTTATTTGGTTTAGAGTCTTGCTACGCAGCTCAGACTCATAATGATCCTCCTATCTCAGCCTCCCCAGCACTGAGATTACAGGCATGCACCACCACGCCCAGTTTTGCTGGCCAGCTCAATGCAGGGCTAGGACAGTATGCAGTACTGGGGATCAAACCCGGGTCCTTGTGCATGCCAGGCTGGCACTTAGACTGCTGAGTTATCTCCTTGGCTAATGGTTAGTATTTTAACGGTTCCCCTGGAGTGACATGGCAAGGGTTCCCTGGAAGCCAAGCATAAGACCTAAATTAAGTAGTAGTGAAAAATGACGTTCTAAGAGAACATGTACATGGATGTTTGTTAGGTAAGGAAATCAGAATAGCAATCTAGATAAAGAAGGGGGAACAGAAAAGAGCCTGCTGTTTAGCTAACCTATCTTCCCTGTATCTACTTCCCTGCTCTTGTTCTGATTCAGACCCTGAAGATAAGGCCTTCACACTCCAGAAACACAATGTGAGGGCTGAAAGGAAACTGGGCTAGAATTAAGCAGACCTCGGCCTCAACCTGTTTGCCAAATGCTTTTGCCCAGATGGTAACAGAAAGCTTTTTCTTTTCCTATACTAATCTGTAAAGAATTTACCGTATACAACATAACAAGGCATACTATTCACACTCTCCACTCATCTCACTGATTTGTTTGTGCCTCAATGAAGCACTAAAAAGCCTCAATCTAATTTTCCAAGGAAAAGAATACAGAGGAGAAAGCAGGTGCTGTTCTGCTGTCTCACAATCTTTCCCCTCAGTTGCTCATCTCTACTTTACATCTCTGTCACCAAACTGCACCACAATGACCATCTCAAAAGGACAAACCCACGTTCACAAAACACTAAGCTACTAAAACTGGAATGATTAGAGCGTTGGTGTTAGCAGACAACCTCATAAGTGGAACACAGAATCCCTACACCCTGGAATACCAACTGTCTTGCTGAAAGGGCCCAATGTGGACCTCTGAGAGTGGCTTTATTCTTGAAAGAAAAAACTAATACATTTGGTACAAACTATGAGTCCCAGGTCATAAAAACCTACTGCATATGCTACGCCTATGGATGCCACACAAAATTGATGGTGTGATCCAGACAGTTTAAACAAACAGCAATTCCTCAGAAAAGTCCACACAACCACCTCAAAACTGCACCAGAGGGGTAAGGAAGATAGCTCAGTGGCTAAATGCCTGCCTGGCAAGAGCAAGGGCCTGAGTCTGAGCCCCAAGGCAAAAGAAAGAGAGGGATAGAGGGAGGGAGAGGGAGGGAGGGAACAAACCAACCTGCAAAAGAAACACATGCTTCTCTCCGATATTCCAACCTATTTTCTTTCTTTTTTTTTTTTATACCAAGGATCAAACTCAGGACCTTGCACTTGCTAGGCAGGTGCTTAAGCCACTGAGCGAGGTATCTCTCCAGTCCCCAACCCATTTTCAAAAAGGTCCCCAGAAACAATGATAAATGACAAAAGCAACACAAGCACATATTTTCAAATTACAGAATCCTTCATCAATATCAACAGTGGCTTCTACAAAAATAAAAATAAGAAAAGCACTGTTCTTCAAAATGAACAGTAGCGGCTATCAGACATGCAAACAGCACTAACCACCTCTGCCGACTCTGCAGTACCTCTGTACCTGCCGTACTCCTATAGCCATCAAAGCACATGGTAGAGTTAAAAGTCAGTAAAAAAAAAAAAAAAAAAGAACAGAATGTGTAAGGGAAAACACACTACACTTAAAATGGAGACCTAAGGCAACTACCGCCTTGACTGTTGAGTACTACTGATGCCCTACAAATGTCAAATGCCTTCTTCAGCCGCATACGATATGGGAAAGGCACTGCCCCTCTGTGTTCTAAAAAACTAACTCCTGTCCAGCAAGAAAATGTTCAACCAACCCAAACTGAGGAATGTTTTACAGGTGTCTGAACAGTATTTCTCAAAATTGTCAAGGTAAGATTAAAAAAAAACTGTCAATCATGAAAAACAAAACAAATTGCCACAGATCAGGCAAAATGAAAGGAAACATGGAAACTAAATAGGGTGTGGATGGGAACCCAGAAGAGAAAAAGGAAAATGCGGTGAAATCCAAATCATGTCTAGAGTTAATCCTAAGGAATTAAAATTGATTTCTTAGTTCTGACAAATGTACTGTGCTAAATTAAGATTCTAAGAATAGGGAAAATGAGGTGAGGCAGACTCAGAACTCCCTGTGCTAGCAGCACTGGCGCACTGCAAATATTCTGTAGTCTAATGTTATTCCAAAATAAAAAATTTATTCTAAACATGAACCAAGCCAAAAAAAGCACCAAGAGTAACCAAGGTTGTAGATGGGATGTCTGACTTGAGAGACCAAAAAAAAGCAGCGGAGTGGAGGGACGTCCTGGTAATTACAGAGAGAACAGCGCCGACAGCCCCAGCGCACAGTGGCCCTCGGCACTGCTGCTTTTCCTACCTGCACTGAAATATTCATCCTCGGAGAGCGCTGTCACTTCAGTATCCAGTGGGATGGGGTCGCACAGGAGAATGTCTTTGCCCAACACATCACACTCATACCCATCATCAAAAAGCAATTTGTACTTCCCAGCTCCGACGTCTCGTGTGATTTTTCCGGAGTAAAAATAGCCATTCGATGACCATTTGGCAACAACACGGAGCCCTACGAAGCTGTTCCCTGGAGAGGAGGCATCGAGGCCATCTGAGGAGCTAGCAGCAGCCTGGAAAGGTATCTCTGGAGAGTCGCTGCGACGCAGAGCACCAGCACCCATGTCTACTCTTTTGGTAGTATCTGGTACGCGGGGCAAAATTCGGGTGAAGGACTTATCCTCTGGCGACATGCTGGGTGAAATGTCTTCTATGCCCAATGGGCCAGGCACAACTGTTTCTCTAACAAGAGATAGAAATAGAAAGCAACAATAGTAAGAGGACAGAAGCACACACCTGTTTTCCCACTCTTTTGACCACGTGTCTCCTTAGCCAGTTCTGCTAACCATCACAGGCCCCCCCTCCATAGGGCACCTCTTCTCCCTCAGGACATCCACGTATTCTCCCCTTATTTTCTGAACAAGCCATACGCTGCACATTTCTCACACAAGCCTGGTACCTGGTTCCAGTGGTCCGAGAAGGTGGACGGCCCCTTCGCCCTCGCCCTCGAGGTGTGACTGGAGCCTTCCCTCCCTGTCGGGCACCAAGGCCAGTATCACCATCTTCTTCGCACACTGGTGCCCCTGTCTGACTGATTCCTTTTCTAGGACTAGAGAATAAAAACAGGTTAGTCTGATAGCCCCTGCTATTGGATCCTTTCTCCCCAGGGCCCTAACCCCATGCCAGGCTACATATGATAGGCCTACAGGGCAGCAGTAAGGGATGGTAAGGACATTTTCCTGCATGAAAGACTATTTGCTCCTGACAAAGTTTCCGACTACTGCCCCCAAATGTCACATATTCATTTCTGTCTTCTACTTCAAATTCTGAAGTAGCTAAAAAAAAAAAAAAAAAAAAAAAGAGCAATCAAAA